TTGTGTGCCACAAAGTCTGTTCCAATTTCTAGCAGCCCTGTACAGGGTTTCTGAGGCTGTAAATCAGTATGGGAGCAGAAGGACTTGTCTTTGACCCTCAGAGTGGATGGTAGATTTGAATTGTTGTTATTTTGCTTAGTGGCCGAGCTCTTATTCCACTATGGTGCCAGAGTGCCTTGTGTATCTGTTTGAGTTATTTAGAAATGCAAACTCCAAGCTTGTCTTGGCACTACTAATGTTTTTTAGTAGATCATTCTTGTGGAGTGAGGTTAGGATAAGGGAAGAGAGGCAGGTAGCTGTCCTCGATAGCGTATTTAGCAGCATACCTGACCAGTAACAATCAAAAATGTCTTTTCATGTCACCAAATTTCCCCAGGGGCAAAATTACCTCTGGTTAAGAAAAGCTGGGTATGTGGTTTGAATAGAGACAAACAATCAATGTGTGATGATGTAAGATCCCGTTCTACCGTCACCATGCACACAACCTCTCCAGTACTGAGTATCATTTTCTAAAAATCTTTGCCAGTTAGGTGGCAATTGTTCTGACAATTCTCAATAATAGTGCTTTCCAGGGTCCCCATACCATTTTATGTGATAAAAGAATGGAAAAAATAGTCTTATGCCGGACCTGGAGTTGTGGAGGTGGGATCATGCAAAAAATGAGGATGTCTGAATAGGATTCTATGGTCTCGATGCGAGAATAAATTGGCTTCACTAACATCTGCATAATTTCAGGATTGAGTTGGTTTTGTGATGTCATCTTCTTTCATCCATCCAAGCTTAGGTTGTTAGTTAAAGAGTACATCTAGTACATAGGAATTACTCAAATATTTGTGAAATAACGTCATGGATCGAGCTTTATCTTTTGCCTTTTGTATTAGACAATCAGGTACTTTAATGAGTTCAAATCCGTCGATGTATATAAAATGTTCTAGAGAGTCTCACAGTGTTTTGTATTTCTGACCCTCAGCTGTCACATCTCCAACATTGCTCACATGCCTACCAAGCTTCTTCAGGGCTGAGGATCAGGCTTTAGCACAACCTCTGTTATGCCCACTGCAGAGCCAGCACCCAGGTTCTAACTGACAAGATCTACCTACAAGGACTCTGGCTGCTTTCACTATTTCTAGATTTATATGATGTGCCAGGCCATGGGACTTGGGATCTGACTTTCCAGTGGCTACACAGAAGAGCTGGGCAACACAAGCAAGAAGTGAGGAGATGGGACAAAAGTAAAATCAAAGATGGAAGACCAAAAGGCCCCAGCGGATAAATGCCTGTTTTATTCCCCTGATAGATCTGAATCTCTCTAAATTCAGAAAGGCAGAGTACGTAAAACTGTCCTGCCATAAACATGGGGAATAATTAGCCCTCAACTAAGAGTCAGATCTGAAGGGATCAAACAGTTTCCAAGGTAACTGAACTGCCTCCCAGACAAATATTTATAGGAATATGAAAATTACTTAGTACCCAACAAGGAAAAATTGACAATAAAAAATTAACCAGACATGCAATGAAATAGGAAAACATACCTTATAAAAAGGGGGGGAATCAATCAGAACCATCTCAGAATTAAATGTTATAATTAGCATAGAAAAAGCATTGAAATAGTTATTATATTTACAAGGGTAAGTCAAAATTTTTGTTACTAGGGTTCCAGTTCTTATATGCACAATTTATTCCAAACAAAATATGTTTAAATATGCTTCTGCAATCAAAGGATGGTTGCAAACAATTCTCTCAGTAATATACTTGTGTTAGTCTCATTAGAATGCCTTCAAAGAAAGGGTTCAATAGAAAGAGTGGCTTCAGAGGGGATCTGCTGGACCTGTTAAATTCAAGGCAGAGAGGTCAGCTCAGAAGATTATGGTGTTGTTGTTGGTGGTGGTGGTGGTGATGGTGTGCCAAGGAGTCAGTTCTGACTCACAGCAACCCTGTACAGGGTTTCCGAAGCTATGAATCTTTACGGGAGCAGAAACTCTTTCTCCCATGGAATAGCTGATAGTTTCAAACTGCTGACCTTGAGGTTAGCAGCCCAATTTGTAACCACTACGCTACCAGAAGGTATGGTTATTGTTTATTGGGATTCCAAAGGGGTAACATTGGTAGATTTTCTCAAAGGTCACAAGACAAGCATGGGGACTTAATAGGAAGAAGTTTTCAGATCAATGAAAACTGCATTGGTGAGGAAAAGTCCCACCAATTTTTTTCCAATGTGACAATGCACTGTTCATCTTTTGAGGGTAGCAAGGACTGTCTTATAAGAATTTTGTTAGGAAAACTGATTTCAACCACCCTACGGTTTTGATCTTTCCTCTTCAGATTTTTTTTTTTTTTTGTACCCAAAATGTGAAGAGTTTTTAAAAGGGGCATGATTTTGAGTCCCTTGAGGCTAACAAAATTATTGTTTTGACATGGTGTAAATAGAAGCGCTAGAGAAATGGGAACACTGCCTTCAGAACTGTATAGACGTAGATAGAGGATATGTCAAGAAAAATAGCTTCACATTTTGATGTTTTTGTTTACTAAAGGTTTCTATGATTTTGTAGCCATATTTTTTATTTACTCTTTTCTATTCCAGATGTCCAAAATCTAAAATAGAAACCTGGAAATTAAAACAAACAAACAAACAAACAGAAAAAAAAAAAAGACCATTAGAAGTCCAGAGATGAAAGCTACACTACCTGCAATAGGATTAACATTATATTCACACAATGAAATACTACTCAGCAATAAAAAGGAATGGGATGTCAATGAATAACATGTATGAATTTCAAAACAATTACTCTGAATGAAAGGATCCACAAAAAAATTGTATACTACTTAATTATGTGAAATTCTAGAAAATGCAAGCTAGAATATAGTTACAGAAAGTATATCAGTAGTATCTGGGGAGAAGAACAGGAAGAAAAATTATCAAGAGGTATGAGCAGCTCTAGTAGTGTGTTGGACTGTTAACTGCAAGGTCAGCAGTTTGAGTCCACCAGCCACCCCTCAGGAGAAAGATGAGACTTTCTGCTTCCATCAAGTACCCTATACATAGTCACTGAGTCAGAACCGACTAGCAGGCACATAACAGGAAATACTTACGTTCACTCTTGATTTTAGTGATGGTTTCACAGCTGTATACATGCAAGGGACTTTCAAAAAGTTCATGGGGAAATGGAATTAAAAGATAATAGAATCCTTCCATGAATTTTTTGAAGCCCCTCCATATTTTAAAATTCATCACATTTTATATTTATAAAGTATACACTTTACTGTATGTCAGTTATAACTTAATAAAACTGTTTTAAAACTAAAGAGAAAATGTTATTAAACCACTGAACAGTTTGGAAAAGATAAGGATCATCAATATGAGCCACATATTGTTTTAAAATATTTTAAATGCAAGTTTTACAGGATGATAAAATAAATATTTAAATCTATACTTCATAAGGAGTCCTGGTGTGGCGCTGTAGGATAAACACTGGACCACAGGTCGGTTTGAACAGTAAGGTCGGAGGGTCAAACCCAGCAGTCACTCCTCAGAAACCCTATACAGAAACACTGTGAGTCAAAACTGACTCAACAGCATTTAACAACGATGACAACATACCTTCTAAAGATTATTTGGTTTAGGAGTGCTTTCTTTCTTTTTTGACAATAAATTATATGACAATGCTGTTGAAAACTGTATGCTTTCATGGTTTTATTAAATTTTTAAATTAGAAAAACTAACAACCTGAAAGTAAATTTCAGTTATCACTTTTCCAAATCTTGATTTGTAAGTTAAAAAAATATTATACTTCACATTTTCTTAATCATAGAGACTGTATACTTGTTCTTTATTACCTTTTTCTATTTAATATGAAGTCTGAACTTTAAAAACCCCCTCAGACATCGGATTGAAGATTTGAATGCATTAATTCTTCTTGTCCTCCTTCATTAGAGATGTCTGTGTGTAATGCATGTTCATTGGATTTTAGAATGAACTGATTTATATATCCTCATACTCCAGTCTTGTCTTTTCTGATTTCCCCCAGTTTGATGCAGACCGAGATGAGGATGAGGTGTTTTATGACATCAGTGTGGCAGTTGACAACAAGTTGTTTCCTAACAAAGAGGCTGCAGCAGGTAAGTTACTGTAATCTTTCAGCAGCAATACACCATAACCACCTGTCAAATGTCTGAGGATTTGTTTAAATGGTTAACGCTGAACAAACTGCTATACGGTTTTCAGGACTACATTGTTCTCAGAGTCTCATTATCTGACTTTACTGTCTGCAGTCTTCCTTCAAACTGATTCATGGTGACCCTAGAGGACAGGATACAACTTTCCATAGTTTCCAAGGCTGTAAATCTTTACATAAATAGATTGCCTCAACTTGCTCTCACAAAGTAGTTGTTGCGATCGAACCATCACCCTTTTGATTAACAGCCAAGGACTTAACCACTGTGCTTCCAAAACTCATTAAATCTTCCTTGCATCTCTGAAATATTGGTGATTTCGATCTCATGTCATTTTGTCTTTTTCTACCTTCTGCTTTAAAAGTAACGATACAAAAAAATACATATAAAAGAAGGGCTATAAATCTGTCCATAATAGTTGCTACTTTTCTTCCTGTCGATGCACATGCAAATTAGCAGATAGTCACAATGTAACATAGGAACCATCTTCAAAAAAAGTTGTCATCAAGTCAACTTGGACTCATGGCAGCCCATGTGTGTGAGAATAGAACTGTGGTCTGTATTTTCAGTGACTGCATTTTTGGAAATAGATCACCAAGCTTTTCTTCTGAGGTCCCTCTAAGTTTATTTTGAACTTCCAACTTTTTAGTTAATAGTTAGTCATTAACTGTTTGCACCATCAGGGACCTCAGGACCTATGCTACTATAATAGAGACAACCAATCTAATGCATACTTTGTGAAACCATTAAAAGTTAAAATTCCTTCAGTAACTCCTAACTCATATTCTTCTCTCTTGTGCTGCCTGGGAAAGGCCAGGGACTTTAAATAAGCAAAGTCTTTAGGAAACTAATGAAGCCCTAGTGGTACTCTGTGATACCTGGTAGGCTGTTAACCATAAGGTCACTAGTTCAAATCCACAACTGCTCTGTGATAAGAAAATGAAGTTTTTCTGATCCTGTAAAGATTTATGTCTTGATTTGCATCTCTCTAAGGACCATGGTTGGCAGTTCAAGCTCACCAGTAGCTCCTTGGAAACCCTATACAGAGTAGCTATGGGTCAGAACTAACTCGATGGCACTTAACAACAACAAAGCAGCTCTGGTGTGACACTGTGGGTTAGTGCGCTAGACTGCAAAGTTGGTTTGAGCTGCGAGGTCAGCGAGTCAAGCTCACAAGCTGCTCCTCAGAAACCCTATGCTGGGTCGCTATGGGTCAGAACCAACTTGGGGGTGCTTAACAACAACAGCAAGGAGCTCTAGTAGCATAGTGGTTAAGAGTCAGGCTGCTAACCTCAAGGTCCACAGCTCAAATCTACCAGCTGTTCTGTTGGAGAAAGATGAGGCTGTCTGCGCCTGTTAAGATTTACAGCCTAGGAAACCCTATGCAGGGTCGCTATGAGTCAGAACTGACTCTACAGCACATAACCACCACCACAAATGCCGAATCCTGTGAACACTTCATATGTTTGTAGGCGGCCTGAATGTCTTCCTTGGTGAAGTGTCTGTTCATGTTCTGTGCCTATTTTTCACTTGGGTTTATTTGTCTTATTCTTGTAGAGGTGTTGTAGTTTCCTATAGCTTTTAGAGGTTAGTTCCTTGTGTGATACGTTGTTGCAAAAGCATTTTTCCTGGTCTATGTGCTCCCTTTTTAAACTTTTGGTAAAGTCCTCTGATGCACATATGTTTGTAATTTTTAGCATGCCCCAGTCATCTATTTTGTCCTCTACTGTTTGTCGGGGTTTTGTCTTGTTTGATAGTCTATGTATGCCATGTATTAGAACCCTTATGTTTGTCCCTATTTTTTCATTGATTGATACTTAATTGTTCTGGGATTTGCATTTAGATCTTTAATCCATGTTGGACTAGTTTTTGTATGTGGTATGAGATAGGGGTCTTGTTTCATTCTTGTTTCATTTCCAGTTTTGCCAGGACTATTTGTTGAAGAGACTATCTTGTCCCTATTTAATGTATTTTGGCTCTTTGTCAGAGATCAGTTGACTGTACATGGATTGATCTATTTTTGGGTTCTCAATTCTATTCCATTGATCTATGTTTCTTTCATTGTACCAATACCAGGCTGTTTTGACCACTGGGCTATATAGTAAAATTTGAAATCAGGGAGTGAGAGGCCTCCCACTTTGCTTTTCTTTTTAAGCAGAGCTTTGTTTATCCAGGGTCTCTTTCCCTTCCACATAAAGTTTGTGATCATTTTTTCCTTCTTTAAAGAATGTTATTGGAATCTGGATTGGGATTGTATTATACTGTAGATTGATTTGAGTAATATTGACATTTTCACAATGTTAAGTCTTCCTATCCAGGAACATGGTATATGCTTCCATTTTTGTAAATCTATTTTGGTTTCTTGGAGTTGTCTTAGTATAGGTCTTTTGTTTCTCTGTTTGGATTTATTCCTAAACATTTCATCCTCTGGGTGACTATTGTAAGTGGTATTGCTTTCCTAATTTCCTTTACAAAGCTGTCTCTATTAGTAGTGGCTCTGTGAGTTAATGCGCCAGACTGCAAAGCCGTTTGAACTACAAGCTCTGTGGTTCAAGCTCACCAGTCACCCCTTGGAAACCCTATGCAGGGTTGCTATGGGTCAGAACCGACTCAACGGCACTTAACAACAACAACTCCAACTGATTTTGATGTGTTGATCTTACACTCTGCCACTTTGCGGAATCTTCCAATGAGTTCCAGTATTCTTTTCATTGTTGTTGTTGCTGAGTCTTGGGGATTTTCTATGTATAGGATCATATCATCTGCAAATAGAGAGAGTTTTACTTCTTTGCCAATCTGGATGCCTTTATTTTCCTTTTCTTGCCTTGTAGCTCTGACTAAGACTTTCAACACAATTTGAATAGAAGTGATGATAAAGGGCATTCTTTTCTGGTTCCTGTTTGCAAAGGGAAGGCTTTCAGTTTCTCTCCACTGAGAGTAATGTTGGTTTTGTACATCTGCTCATAAATATGTTGAGGAATTTCCCTTAAATTCCTACTTTGTTTAGTGTTGTTTTTTTGTTGTTGTTTTTTTTTGTTTTTGTTTTTTATCAGGAATGGGTGTTGGATTGTGTTAAATTCCTTTTCTGCATCAATCAATGTAGTCATGTTGGTTTTCTCCTTTCTTTTTTTTATTTCTGTGGTGAATTATATTGATTGTTTTTCTAATATTGAATCATCCTTGCACCCCTGTTATAAATTCTACTTGGGCAAGAAAAGGCAGTCCATCACAGTAAACCCCTTTCTAAGACTGAAACACAAAGGGAACACA